TCTCAGGAACTATAAGTGCAAATGAGTTGAAATTTTCAGGGATATTAGTCCTCTACTGAAATAAGAATCGCTGAAAATTTCAGCTTTCTATCTTTAATAGAAAAAAAGTTATGACCTGTCAAAGTTTTCCAAAATCTAAATCATAAGGTAGGTACCTTCCTACTAAAACAATGAAATTTCAAATTTTTTTTTGTAGAGATTTTGTGTCCTAATGGTCACTTGTGATCCCTCGATCTCCATACACTAAGTTATTCCCAGATTTGTAGCCAAAATCTATGAAAAAAGGCACTCAGAAAAATTGAAAAATTGATAAATCACCCCAAATTGCTTAACCCAATTTTATCTCAGGAACTATAAGTGCAAATGAGTTGAAATTTTCAGGGATATTAGTCCTCTACTGGAATAAGAATCACTGAAAATTTCAGCTTTCTATCTTTAATAGAAAAAAAGTTATGACCTGTCAAAGTTTTCCAAAATCTAAATCATGAGGTAGGTACCTTCCTACTAAAACACTGAAATTTCAAATTTTTTTGTGTGGAGATTTTGTGTCCTAATGGTCACTTGTGATCCCTCGATCTCCATACACTAAGTTATTCCCAGATTTGAAGCCGAAATCTATGAAAAAAGGCACTCAGAAAAATTGAAAAATTGATAAATCACCCCAAATTGCTTAACCCAATTATATCTCAGGAACTATAAGTGCAAATGAGTTGAAATTTTCAGGGATATTAGTCCTCTACTGAAATAAGAATCGCTGAAAATTTCAGCTTTCTATCTTTAATAGAAAAAAAGTTATGACCTGTCAAAGTTTTCCAAAATCTAAATCATAAGGTAGGTACCTTCCTACTAAAACAATGAAATTTCAAATTTTTTTTTGTAGAGATTTTGTGTCCTAATGGTCACTTGTGATCCCTCGATCTCCATACACTAAGTTATTCCCAGATTTGTAGCCAAAATCTATGAAAAAAGGCACTCAGAAAAATTGAAAAATTGATAAATCACCCCAAATTGCTTAACCCAATTTTATCTCAGGAACTATAAGTGCAAATGAGTTGAAATTTTCAGGGATATTAGTCCTCTACTGGAATAAGAATCACTGAAAATTTCAGCTTTCTATCTTTAATAGAAAAAAAGTTATGACCTGTCAAAGTTTTCCAAAATCTAAATCATAAGGTAGGTACCTTCCTACTAGAACAATGAAATTTCAATTTTTTTTTTGTGGAGATTTTGTGTCCTAATGGTCACTTGTGATCCCTCGATCTCCATACACTAAGTTATTCCCAGATTTGTAGCCAAAATCTATGAAAAAAGGCACTCAGAAAAATTGAAAAATTGATAAATCACCCCAAATTGCTTAACCCAATTTTATCTCAGGAACTATAAGTGCAAATGAGTTGAAATTTTCAGGGATATTAGTCCTCTACTGAAATAAGAATCGCTGAAAATTTCAGCTTTCTATCTTTAATAGAAAAAAAGTTATGACCTGTCAAAGTTTTCCAAAATCTAAATCATGAGGTAGGTACCTTCCTACTAAAACACTGAAATTTCAAATTTTTTTGTGTGGAGATTTTGTGTCCTAATGGTCACTTGTGATCCCTCGATCTCCATACACTAAGTTATTCCCAGATTTGAAGCCGAAATCTATGAAAAAAGGCACTCAGAAAAATTGAAAAATTGATAAATCACCCCAAATTGCTTAACCCAATTATATCTCAGGAACTATAAGTGCAAATGAGTTGAAATTTTCAGGGATATTAGTCCTCTACTGAAATAAGAATCGCTGAAAATTTCAGCTTTCTATCTTTAATAGAAAAAAAGTTATGACCTGTCAAAGTTTTCCAAAATCTAAATCATAAGGTAGGTACCTTCCTACTAGAACAATGAAATTTCAATTTTTTTTGTGTGGAGATTTTGTGTCCTAATGGTCACTTGTGATCCCTCGATCTCCATACACTAAGTTATTCCCAGATTTGAAGCCAAAATCTATGAAAAAAGGCACTCAGAAAAATTGAAAAATTGATAAATCACCCCAAATTGCTTAACCCAATTTTATCTCAGGAACTATAAGTGCAAATGAGTTGAAATTTTCATGGATATTAGTCCTCTACTGGAATAAGAATCGCTGAAAATTTCAGCTTTCTATCTTTAATAGAAAAAAAGTTATGACCTGTCAAAGTTTTCCAAAATCTAAATCATAAGGTAGGTACCTTCCTACAAAAACAATGAAATTTCAAATTTTTTTTTGTAGAGATTTTGTGTCCTAATGGTCACTTGTGATCCCTCGATCTCCATACACTAAGTTATTCCCAGATTTGAAGCCAAAATCTATGAAAAAAGGCACTCAGAAAAATTGAAAAATTGATAAATCACCCCAAATTGCTTAACCCAATTTTATCTCAGGAACTATAAGTGCAAATGAGTTGAAATTTTCAGGGATATTAGTCCTCTACTGGAATAAGAATCGCTGAAAATTTCAGCTTTCTATCTTTAATAGAAAAAAAGTTATGACCTGTCAAAGTTTTCCAAAATCTAAATCATAAGGTAGGTACCTTCCTACAAAAACAATGAAATTTCAAATTTTTTTTTGTAGAGATTTTGTGTCCTAATGGTCACTTGTGATCCCTCGATCTCCATACACTAAGTTATTCCCAGATTTGAAGCCAAAATCTATGAAAAAAGGCACTCAGAAAAATTGAAAAATTGATAAATCACCCCAAATTGCTTAACCCAATTTTATCTCAGGAACTATAAGTGCAAATGAGTTGAAATTTTCAGGGATATTAGTCCTCTACTGGAATAAGAATCGCTGAAAATTTCAGCTTTCTATCTTTAATAGAAAAAAAGTTATGACCTGTCAAAGTTTTCCAAAATCTAAATCATAAGGTAGGTACCTTCCTACTAGAACAATGAAATTTCAATTTTTTTTTTGTGGAGATTTTGTGTCCTAATGGTCACTTGTGATCCCTCGATCTCCATACACTAAGTTATTCCCAGATTTGAAGCCAAAATCTATGAAAAAAGGCACTCAGAAAAATTGAAAAATTGATAAATCACCCCAAATTGCTTAACCCAATTTTATCTCAGGAACTATAAGTGCAAATGAGTTGAAATTTTCAGGGATATTAGTCCTCTACTGGAATAAGAATCGCTGAAAATTTCAGCTTTCTATCTTTAATAGAAAAAAAGTTATGACCTGTCAAAGTTTTCCAAAATCTAAATCATAAGGTAGGTACCTTCCTACTAGAACAATGAAATTTCAATTTTTTTTTTGTGGAGATTTTGTGTCCTAATGGTCACTTGGGATCCCTCGATCTCCATACACTAAGTTATTCCCAGATTTGTAGCCAAAATCTATGAAAAAAGGCACTCAGAAAAATTGAAAAATTGATAAATCACCCCAAATTGCTTATCCCAATTTTATCTCAGAAACTATAGGTGCAAATGAGTTGAAATTTTCAGGGATATTAGTCCTCTACTGGAATAAGAATCACTGAAAATTTCAGCTTTCTATCTTTAATAGAAAAAAAGTTATGACCTGTCAAAGTTTTCCAAAAGCTAAATCATAAGGTAGGTACCTTCCTACTAAAACAATGAAATTTCAATTTTTTTTGTGTGGAGATTTTGTGTCCTAATGGTCACTTGTGATCCCTCGATCTCCATACACTAAGTTATTCCCAGATTTGTAGCCAAAATCTATGAAAAAAGGCACTCAGAAAAATTGAAAAATTGATAAATCACCCCAAATTGCTTATCCCAATTTTATCTCAGAAACTATAAGTGCAAATGAGTTGAAATTTTCAGGGATATTAGTCCTCTACTGGAATAAGAATCACTGAAAATTTCAGCTTTCTATCTTTAATAGAAAAAAAGTTATGACCTGTCAAAGTTTTCCAAAATCTAAATCATAAGGTAGGTACCTTCCTACTAGAACAATGAAATTTCAATTTTTTTTTTGTGGAGATTTTGTGTCCTAATGGTCACTTGTGATCCCTCGATCTCCATACACTAAGTTATTCCCAGATTTGTAGCCAAAATCTATGAAAAAAGGCACTCAGAAAAATTGAAAAATTGATAAATCACCCCAAATTGCTTATCCCAATTTTATCTCAGAAACTATAAGTGCAAATGAGTTGAAATTTTCAGGGATATTAGTCCTCTACTGGAATAAGAATCACTGAAAATTTCAGCTTTCTATCTTTAATAGAAAAAAAGTTATGACCTGTCAAAGTTTTCCAAAATCTAAATCATAAGGTAGGTACCTTCCTACTAGAACAATGAAATTTCAATTTTTTTTTTGTGGAGATTTTGTGTCCTAATGGTCACTTGGGATCCCTCGATCTCCATACACTAAGTTATTCCCAGATTTGTAGCCAAAATCTATGAAAAAAGGCACTCAGAAAAATTGAAAAATTGATAAATCACCCCAAATTGCTTATCCCAATTTTATCTCAGAAACTATAAGTGCAAATGAGTTGAAATTTTCAGGGATATTAGTCCTCTACTGGAATAAGAATCACTGAAAATTTCAGCTTTCTATCTTTAATAGAAAAAAAGTTATGACCTGTCAAAGTTTTCCAAAATCTAAATCATAAGGCTCCTTAAGGAGGAATACAAGGTCAGTTAAAATGGGGCAAAGTTAGATTTTCATCAAAGATGGCAGATGCTGGTGTAAATCTAGCTTGAATTAATCTCATTATTCTCATTTTATCAAAATCGATTGTGATCAGCTTCAAAAGCCACCCAACTTCGATACACTGACAATAAACTTAATTAAAAACGACGTTTTTGCCTTTTTCCTAAGGATTCTTCCAACATATGGAATGTGAAAGATTAACGCTTGGTTGATTAAAAACGATTTTTATATTAGGGCGGCTTCATTTGATTATTATCAGAATACAATTTCAAAGGAGACATAATTAGTACTGAAGTTAAGATAAAAATCATAATTTTAATTGACAAGTTTGTAGAATTTTTTAATTAACTTATAATTTCTATTCCAGACAAACTCTGATCTTCGCCCTCTTATTCTGCCTGTGGCTCCAATCGGAATCCAGACCCCAATCGAAAAACCACAACATGCTGACCAAATTGGGCCTGCAAAAAATCCGAAGCCCCAACACCCACCACAGAAAACGTCTAGCAGTCGAATCCAGACAACACAGCCGCTCAGATGATTCCCACATGTTTATAATCAAACTACCACCGAATCCTCACTATTATGTCCTAAACAAACCCAACTCAGTAATGCCAGAAGCTCAGAAAATTTCAGTAGGGTTTAAAAGCAATGGTAAACCAGGCAAGATTTACCATTGGAATTTGCCAGTATTGAAAAAGGTTGTTGAAGTTAAGCAAAAAAGTCGTACGGCTGATGTTGATTTGGATCTTGATCATCCAGAAAGCTGGAATGAGGTTTTTGATAAGCCTTCGAATAAAAAGCCTTTGAAACCTTCTTACTATGTACCGCAAAAACCTAAAAAATCAAACTTTATGAAGTATTTTCCAGGAAATGGCAAACCACATTCGTTTTATGTTATAGAGAAGAATAAAAGGGCGCACTATCATAGACTTTTACCTTAAAGTGTTTTATTTAAGTATTTGTTTTATTTATTGTAGCTGCAAAAGACTTTTTGTGCAATTAAATGTAAGTTTTGATGACTGAATCTCCTATACAAATAAATAATTGTTTATAATAATAATAATTAATAAAAATTCATATTGATTGTTTAATTTATTTAGCCCAATTCAAGTAATAGTTACCTTATTAACCTTTGCTACAAATTTCAAACTTTCAGGGTTTATTACTTAAGACAAAACCAGATGAAGTGACTCAGAAATAGAATTTTTTTTTTTCCTATTTAAGGGCCTAATAATTATGGACCGACTGATAAGTGCCAGGTTATTACCTAGCAGGTACTTTCCATGCTCTAGACAATAGAAAGTACTTGCTAGTCGTCCATAATTTGACCCTAAATGTGAAAAAAATCTTTGAAATTAAACTTCAAAATACATTTTAACTTGTTTTATTTTTGAACAAAACAATTCAGAAATGTTCTTATTTCTTTACTCAAGCTATTTTATCACATAAAAACAGTAAAGTGAAACATAAATTAATTTAACCAACAAGTAAAGTATCATCAGTGGGGAAAGTATAAGCTGGGACTTCCAAGTTCAAAGGAGCAGGCCCCTTACGAATCCTGCCTGAAGCATCATAATGCGACCCGTGACAAGGACAATAATACCCGCCAAAATCACCAGAATTGGCGATTGGCACGCAACCCAAATGGGTGCAAACACCCAAAACAACCAACCATTCTGGATTTTGGACACGTTCATTGTCATGTTGGGGATCTCTGAGATTATTAACAGCAACAGATTGTTCTGTAGAAATTTCATCTGGAGTCCTATGACGGATAAATAGAGGTTTGCCTCTCCATTTGAATGTTACTGATTTTCCTTCTGGAATATCAGCCAGCTTGATTTCGATTTTGGCCAAAGCTAAAACATCGGCTGAGGCACTCATTGAGCTGACAAACTGAGTGATTACGGATTTGGCAGCATAAGCTGAAGAGGCTCCCAAGCCTCCGGCTACCAAATAAGTGAAGTTTTTTCTTGAGTCTTCACTATCAGTTGATTTTTTGTTGGGGTTTTTTGTTGCCGGGTTGCGGTAATCGTCGAAGTTTGGTACATTGATATCAGTGTGTGCCCACCTTAAAATAATACTCAATTAATACAAATTATTGCTATTTTATCAAAATTCTTACCTTATTTGAGTTGACACAGCTGGTCCACTGGACACAGACACATTAGCATTAATAGGCAAAGCTCTCGATAGAGAAAGGGCCGAATTGCCTTGAAAAGGGATTTGGACTGGTTTTCTTGTAGGTAAAACCGCTACTGTACCAGAAACGTTCAATTGGTTGCTTACCACTTGACTGGCCGATTTAAAATAACCAGAGACTGTACAGGGCTTCAACATTTTTGGGGCTTTTTATTTGAACGTTATGCAACAAAATACAAGTGAATGTGCCCCCAAACTGTATGGAATTTATTTCTCTCTGACAGCATTTTATTGAAAGAAAACAGCTGATTCGTATTACAATTACAGAATTCTGCTTTCGATTGCATTTGGTTTCTACCCATAGATGATTTTTAGTTGGTTTGAAATTTGAATTTTTTAGTAGAAATTCTAATAAAGGTAACTATTACTACAGGCTATTAAAAGGGCCGAATTTATAGTCATTCCTTGAGTCTGCCTTAAAGGTTGTGAGTTTAGAATGGACACTTGGTACCACAGCTTGACAAGTTAGTCATGTCAATTCTAAACGTTCAAGGCTTCCTCAAGGTCCAAGGAAACCTCAAGGAGCGACTATAAATTCGGCTCTAAAGTGAAGAACTTTTGAAATCTGAAAAATAGCCAGTTATAAAGATGTTAAGCTTCTTCAGTTGAATTCGTGGGATCCCAAATGACCATTAGAACAGAAAAACAAAAACACCCTGTATATTATAGATCTTCATTATAAGTTCAATATCTATTATTCTGTCTGAGTCAATTGTTGGAAATTTGCTTAAAAGTTTAAAAAATAGTTTTCACCTTGTAAATCATTGTATGTACAGAGTGTCCCATTTTAATTGTACAGGGTGGCCCGTTTATTTTGTTCTATCTCGGTACATGGAAATCTAGATATTTTATGAAAAAAAGTTTTATACAAAAGTTGTAGAGTTTAAATCATTAATTTGTTTAATTGTATGTTTCCCTTTGATCAAAGTCCGAGTTTGAACTATTTATTTTTAACGTGTCTAACGTTTATACATACAATTATCTAAAAATTGGCCATTTTTCGAAAATAACCGTAAAAAATATGAAACCGTGCATAACGATACCCTATCAAACTATATATATTTTTATTTGTCTTTGAAAGCGCTAACAAAAAATATAAAAATATACAGGGTGTTCTTTTTTAAAAAAATTAAATTTGATGTGTCACACTTTTTTGACTCCCCCTGTATATTCGCAAATATAAAAAAAAACAAATCAATGATTTGAACCCTACAACTTTTGTATTTAACTTTTTGTCAAAAAATATTTAGATTTCCATATACCGAGATAAGACAAAATAAACGGGCCACCCTGTACATAAGGTGTTTCAGAAAAGCCTTCTTGTGGTCTAACTTATTTTTATTTTTATTTATAATAATTGTTAAGAAGTTATATCTATATTTAAATATATTTAAGTTTGTTATCTTTCAAAATCAAATTTATATTAAAATATTGTTGATGGCTTTCGACAAGCTACTGCGTAGCTTAGAAAGCTGTACCATATGTGTGATATTGTATTGTTTGTTGTTAATAATAAATAATAAATAATAATAATAATAACTTTCTTATTTGAAATGGGATACCATGTATACATATAGTAGATACTGAATATTTGGATTCTATGTAAAATTTTGAGTAAATTTCATCCAATATATGTACCTAAAACTCTGTTATATATAGACTGTTGTAAATTGACTTTTCTGATTTAACCATTTAAATTTTACACCACGTTAAAGTTGCAGAAAAGTCAAATTTCAACTGTCAATATTTCCAAAACAGTTGAGCTCAAGTATACTTAGGATAAATGATCACATCATGAAATACATATACAGGGTATTTCGTTTGAAATAAGAAAGTTGCGCCACAACCAGCTTTTCTAAAACACCCTGTATATGCAAAAGTGAGTTTTATTATTTCAAATATAAAACGTTTATTTGGGACACTTCTTTCTAAAATGTCAAATAAAAACAATAGAGAAAGAGGGGGATGATGACATTTAATACCAATTATACCACAGCATAATATACAAAAACAATCAGCAGGCTAACCCGAGTGACAGGTGACAGTCCGTGTAATAAAGGAATTCATAATTGTGACGTCACTAGAGCGGCCATTTTGGGATACACGATAGAACCTGATTGACAATAATTTTGGATTTTTCTTTCATGTCACAGAGTCGTATTGGCTTAAAATAAATCACTGTTATATAATATGACATTTGAAAATAAAATAATTTGTGTAATAAATGACTATACGAATACACTTTAAAATCACAGCTAAAATTTCGCTCTATACCACACAACAGGATGAAAATACCCATTCTCAAGAGAAACCTCGAAAAACTTCCTTTTTTAAGAATAAATGTAACATCTTTTTTAAAAATTCAATAATTTCAGTTATAGCCAACCTTCGAAAAATTTGAGGATAGTCTTAAAGATCAAAAAACTAGGTCTATAAACCAAGCAGTCCCAAGGTGGAAAAAACAGTCCCCTATAGTAAAAAATATTTTTCCAAAATTTTCTTTTGTATCAGAATTAGGTGCTTTTTAGGTGCTCCTAAATAGTTGAAGAAAAAATAGAATTGATTAATTATTAATTGAGTTACAGATTTTTTAAAAATTATTAGGAGACTGCTGGCTTTACGTTTACATGTTGGTGTGTCAGAATGGAAAAAAACTTCGGGATCTATATAATAATTAGGTGCTTTTTAGGTGCTAATTAGAGCCTCTAATTAAAAATTAGGTGCTCCTCTAGTTTTTGAGAAAATCAAAAAAAACTAAGGGATTGCTAGGTTTATGAAAGCTAGTAGTCCCCTATAGTAAGAAATATTTTACCAAAATTTTCTTTTGTAACAGAATTAGGTGCTTTTTAGGTGCTCCTAAATAGTCGAAGCAAAAATAGAATTGATTAATTATTAAGTGAGTTACAGATTTTTTTTTAATTATTAGGGGACTGCTGGCTTTACGTTTAGGTACATGTTGGTGTGTCGGAATAGGAAAAAAGTTCAGGATCTATATAATAATTAGGTGCTTTTTAGGTGGTAATTAGGGCCTCTAATTAAAAATTAGGTGCTCCTCTTGTTTTTGAGATAATCAAAAAAACCTAAGGGACTGATAGGTTTATAAAAGCTAGCAGTCCCCTATAGTAAAAAATATTTTTTCAAATTTTTTCTATTGTGGTATCAGAATTAGGTGCTTTTTAGGTGCTCCCAAATAGTCGAGGAAAAAATAGAATTGATTAATTATTAACTGAGTTACAGATTTTTTTTTAATTATCAGGGGACTTTGACTATTCAGGAGCACCTAAAAAGCACCTAATTCTGATACAAAAGAAAATTTTGGAAAAATATTTTTTACTATAGGGGACTACTAGCTTTCATAAACCTAGCAATCCCTTAGTTTTTTTTGATTTTCTCAATAACTAGAGGAGCACCTAATTTTTAATTAGAGGCCCTAATTAACACCTAAAAAGCACCTAATTATTATATAGATCTTGAGGTTTTTTTCCATTTTGACACACCAACATATAAACGTAAAGCCAGCAGTCCCCTAATAATTAAAAAAAAATTGTAACTCAGTTAATAATTAATCAATTCTATTTTTTCTGTGACTGTTTATGAGCACCTAAAAAGCACCTGATTTTGATACATAGGAAAATTTTGGAACACTATTTTTCACTATAGGGGTAGGGGACTACTAGCTTTTATAAACCTAGCAATCCCTTAATTAGGAGCACCTAATTTTTAATTAGAGGCCCTAATTAGCACCTAAAAAGCACCTAATTATTATATAGTTCCCGAAGTTTTTTTCCACCTTGGGACTGCTAGGTTTATAGACCTCAAAAAGCTGCATACCTAGCTAGAAAAACTTCCAAGATCAAAAATTGAGATTTTGAAACATAATTTCTTTTGTTCATCCTGTATAAGTGGATAAATGTAAGAAATATATACGTATATATATATATGAAAAAGTGAATTTGATGAGGTTGCAGCCAATTTTTGAAATCTTCTAGATCTTCTTAGGCATTAAAAAGAGACTCTTTTTATTTGTGAAAGCTTTCAGTATAATTTCAATACCTTCTTCAGTCACTCTACAATATAGTTGTTATAAAGTTACAATTATTTATAAATTAATAAATTAAAAAACTTACAATAATTGAGGATAATATATAAGCTGACTGTCTGGGTGTTTTAGAAAAATATTAGATGTAAAATATATAAAAAAGTAGAATAATATAAGGATAATAATTTGTAAAATGATTTTTATGTTCTTTTGAAAAAAAGATCGGATAGTTTCACATAAAAGTGACATACGGTTAAGACACCAATCTTGTGCTTTAAGCCAACATGTCTCTGACACTGGACACATTCCTGATTTTGAGAATACAAAAATTCTTGAAAAAGAAAAAAATAATTTCAAAAGAACGTTTTTAGAAATGATACATAATAATAATAAAAATAATACAATAAATAATAGATCTGATATTCGGAATTTAAGTATGTGTTATTGCTACCTATTAAATATTAATAATAGAATCAATATTTGAAATATGCATTATTGAAATTATTCACATATTTACTAATCTTACTCTTTCAGAATAACATAAATGTTATTTCAATAGATGCTTTTGAATTTCTGGTCCTCCTTAGTTTTCTTTATTAAAAATTTTTACCTGATATAGTAATTTTATTGTCAATTTGTCAAATTTAAAAATCATTTTACAAATTATTATCCTTATATTATTCTACTTTTTTATATATTTTACATCTAATATTTTTCTAAAACACCCAGACAGTCAGCTTATATATTATCCTCAATTATTGTAAGTTTTTTAATTTATTAATAAATAAATAACTTTATAACAACTAAGTATATTGTAGAGTGACTAAAGAAGGTATTGAAATTATACCGAAAGCTTTCACAAATAAAAAGAGTCTCTTTTTAATGCCTAAGAAGATCTAGAAGATTTCAAAAATTGGCTGCAACCTCATCAAATTCACTTTTTCATTAAATTATCAGACAGCCGAAAAACTATCAAGCTATATATATATATATACAACGGTCGAAATTTGATCGTGGCGCCATCTAAGACAAAACTTCAACACCAAGCAGCAATTTTCGCTGCAATATGGTGACTGAGTAATCTAATCGGCCAACCAAAATTCAGTTCGTGGGGAAACCCTATTATCCACTGATGAGAAAATATTTGGTTTGATTTTCCATGCTTTTCCATCCATAGACGCGT